TCACAGATGATATGAAAATGGGTGAGCGATAAATAGTGAGGGGATTAGCCTTATTATAGGAGGGTATAGAGGGGCTGGTCAGATGGACTGATCAGTGGCAAAAGAATTCAATCTGGACAAGTGTGAGGTGATGCAATTGGACAGGACAGCAAGGTGAGGGAATACATGATAAACAGTAGGATGGTGGAAAGATCGAGGATTAGAGGGACTTTGGTGCATGTCAACCAGTCCCTCAGGTTTTAGGATAGGTGGATAAAGTGGTTAAGAAGCCATATGGGATACTTGCCTTTATTAGATGAGGCATCGAGTTTAAGGGCAAGGAGGTAATGCTGGAACTGTATAAAACTTGATTAGACCACAGCTAGAGTATTGTGTTCTGGAATCCACATTATAGGAGAGAAGTGATAGCACTGGAAGGGATTTGCTAGGATGTTGTCTGAGCTGGAGAGTTTCAGTTATGAAGAGAGATTGAACAAACTGGAGTTGTTTTCCTTAGAGCAGAGGAGAGTGAGGGTGGACATGATTGAGATGTATAAAATCATGAGGGGCATAGAGAGGAAGAAACATCCCTCCTTGATGGAGGAATCAGTAACCAGGGGGCATAGATTTAAAATAAGGGGCAGAGATTTAGAGGAGATGTGAGGAAAACCTTTGTCACCCAGAGGATAGTGGGAATCTGGAACTCACTGCCTGTAAGGGTGGGAGAGGCAGAAGCCCTCATAACATGGAAGAAATGTTTAGATCTATACTTGTGATGTCCAGGGGTACAAGGCAAGGGCCAAATGCAAGAAACTGGGATTAGAATAGTTACAGGGTTGTTTCTGATTGGCGTGGATGCAGTGGGCTGAAGGGCCTTTTTTTTTGTAGGTCTATGTCTCTATGGTTTTTCTATCATTCCTGAATCGAGCAGGATTGCACCAAATAACCCTGTCAGTGGCCCCACCATTTTCTTGTTAAATATTCAACAGCTTGATTATTTATCTTATGCCCTTGACTGTTTAAAAATAAAATCTTTATACAATGTTTTAACCTAACACTTTATGGCTATTGAACTGGTGTTCCTGATGTTCCTGACAAGACTATTCTGTGACAGAGATGTTTTGTACAGTGCACTTAAAATGATGAGCCCAGGCACGTAGCAGTGTAGTAATGCAACAGTGTAGTAATGTTGCTGTCGTAGATTGTTGTCATTTTATTTTCCACTCCATTTCACATCCTTGCTGTGTTACATTTGATGGCTAGGTGCCAAAGCTACCCTAGCTGTTTCTAAGGTAACAGATTGCAAAAGCAACCCAACGAGGATTTTTCCAGGGTAAAAAAAACCTACCATGGTTTCTTGGGGATGGGAGGGGTGGACACTGTTGGACTGGTGAAGGTGTTTGAGTGTGGCAAATGCATTGTGGGGAAGAGACCACAGTTTCAGTTCCCAGGCTGATGTTTATAGAGGTATCCCTTACAGTGAATGGAGTTGCTGTGTCATAAAGGTAGATCCTTCTGGTCAGTAACATCGCCAGAGTGGCTGTGGGAAGGAAACAAACAGGAATGGTGCTTCACTGCAAGACCCAGTGAATTTCAGATTTAAAGTTAACAAGAACCTCAGTGATCCTTTTCCACAATGACAAGCGCGTCCAACATTAAATACTCCCCAGAGGTTGTTTGGGCTCAGTCATTCCTGACTCCCTCTCAGAACACATCAGGTTTTTCCTTCACTGAAGATGATTGGGCGTAGTGGTTAGCATTACTGCCTCACTGGACCAGAACCTTGGGTTCAATTCCACCCTCAGGCAACTGTCTGTGCAGAGTTTGCATGTTCTTCCCGTATCCACATGGGATTCCTCTGGGTGCTCTGGTTTCCTCCCACGGTCCACAGATGTGCAGGTTAAGTGGATTGGTCATGGTTAATGTGGGGTTACTGGGATAGGATAGGGGTCTGGGTGGGGTGCTGATCAGAGGGTCAGTGTGGACTTGATGGGCTGAATGGCCTCCTTCCACGCTGTAGAGATGCTATGATTCCATTCTATATTCAGTCCTGCATTACAGTCGCACAGGCATCAGACACACTCCTGTCCCTGGAAAAAGTGGTGGAACAGTGAATGTTAGTAGACTGTTTGATCATGTCTGCCACATTCTTCACCCAATGGCCATCTCAGCTGTAATGCCTCTCCTCATATTGTTTTTTCCAAATACTTTACTGATTTGTGGTCTAGACTCATTCCTAGAGTGGCATTTTGGTGAGGTAGCAAATGTGGGAAAAATGAAGTTGTCGAGTCATTGCAGCTATTTGGCCCTTCAAACCTTTGGTGGCTGTCTGAAGAGAAACTAGTTCCATTCGTGGTCATACAGCATAGAAACAGACCCTTTGGTCCAACTTATCCATATTGACTAGGTTTCCCAAACAAAACTAGTCACGTTTGCCTGCATTTGGCCCACATCCCTTTAAACCTTTCCTATTCATGTACCTGTCCAAATGTCTTTTAAATGTTGTAACTGAACCTGCAGTTCATTCCACACATGAACCACCCTCTGAGTGGAAAAAGTTGCCTCTCAGGTCTCTTAAATCTTTCTCCTCTCCCCTTAAAATTGTGCCCTAATGTTTTGAAATCCCTTGCCCTTATCAATGCCCCTCATGACTTTTATAAACCTCTATAAGGCCATCTCTCAACCTCCTATGCTTCAGGGAAAGAGCCCCAGCCTGTCCAGCCTCTCCTTATAACTCAAATCCTCCACTCCCTGGAGGGAGAGATTTAAAATGGACCTAAGGGACAACTTTTTCAAGCAGAGGGTGATGCATGTGTGGAATGAGCTGCCAGAGGAAGTGGTGGAAGCTGGTACAATTACAACATTTAGAAGGCATCTGGGTGGGTGTATGAATAGGAAGGGTTTAGGGGGATATGGGCCAAAGGCTAGCAAATGGGACTAGATTAATTCAGGATATCTGTCAGCATTGAAAGGTCTGTTTCCATGCTGCACAGCTGTATTACTGTGACCAGAACTGCACACAATACTCCAAAATTGACCTCACCAATATCCTGTATAATCCCAGTTCCTATACTCAGTAGTCTGATTGATGAAGGCAGTATACCAAATGCCGCCTTTACCACCCTGTCTACCTGTGGCACAACTTTCAAAGCACTACGTACCTGAACCCCTTCCCCGAGTTCTTCCCTTGGCCCCATGGGTGACCATGCAGTTTCCTTTGAAATAGTTCATTTTACTTTGACAGCAGCCAGTTCGAAGTCATTGCCACTTGCTGCACTAAAAACAAAGGTGATCTTTGATTTTCACCCACTGCCCCTGATAACATCATCGCAGCAACTAGCGAGAACAGCTTTTTTTAACCTTATCTAAATGTGTATAATATTATACGCCCCTATCAAATCTCCCCTAGATCTGCTTTACTCCACAGGCTGGCGGAATAGCAGCCAGTAAGCTAAGGAGCTGAGATAACAAGGTGTAGAGCTGGATGAACACAGCAGGCCAAGCAGCATCAGAGGAGCAGGAACGCTGACGTTTCGGCCTAGACCCTTCTTCAGAAAAGTTGTTTTGGGGGTGGCGGTGATGGAGGACAGGTTTGCTGTGGTTGGTGGATACAGTATGTGATTTACTGCAGGGATGCATCATGTAAGGCCAGGGTATCCTGCAGAGATGACCATTTGTCTCCATGCTACTCTTTTGTGGCAGCGGGTTATTCAAACAGTAAAAACAGCGGAGGCCATTTTTCCAAGTGAGGAGGACAGAGGAAGAGACAACAAGATGCAGGGCTGGATGAACACAGCAGGCCAAGCAGCATCATAGGAGCAGAGAGGCTGACGTTTCGGGCCTAGACCCTTCATCAGAAAAGGGGGAGGGGAAGGGGGTTTTGAAATAAATAGGGAGAGAGTGGGAGGCGGATAGAAGAGGGATAGAGGAGAGGATAGGTGGAGAGGAAACAAACAGGTCGAAGAGGCGGGGATGGAGCCAGTAAAGGTGAGTGTAGGTAGGGAGTTAGGAAGGGGATAGATCAGTCCAGGGAGGACGGACAGGTCAAGGGGGCGGGATGAGGTTGGTCGGTAGGAGATGGAGGTGCGGCTTGAGGTGGGAGGAGGGGATAGGTGGGAGGAAGAACAGGTTAGGGAGGCAGGGACGAGCTGGACTGGTTTTGGGATGCGGTAGGGGGAGGGGAGATTTTGAAACTTCTGAAATCCACATTGATACCATTGGGCTGCAGGGTTCCCAAGCGGAATATGAGTTGCTGTTCCTGCAACCTTCGGGTGGCATCGTTGTGGCACTGCAGGAGGCCCAGGATGGACATGTCGTCTGAGGAATGGGAGGGGGAGTTGAAATGGTTCGCGACTGGGAGGTGCAGTTGTTTATTGCGAACCGAGCGTAGGTGTTCTGCAAAGCGGTCCCCGAGCCTCCGCTTGGTTTCCCCGATGTAGAGGTAGCCACACCGGGTACAGCGGATGCAGTATACCACATTGGCAGATGTGCAGGTGAACATCTGCTTGATGTGGAAAGTCTTCTTGGGGCCTGGGATGGGGGTGAGGGAGGAGGTATGGGGGCAGGTGTAGCACTTCCTGCGGTTGCAGGGAAAAGTGCCGGGTGTGGTGGAGCTGGAGGGGAGTGTGGAGCGGACAAGGGAGTCACGGAGAGAGTTGTCCCTCCGGAAAGCAGATAAGGGTGGGGAGGGAAAGATGTCTTTGGTGGTGGGCT